AGAACCTGTGAAAGTTTCATCCTTATCTTTGATTTCTATAAAAAGTTATTCCAGTTTTTTTTGGGTCAAACTCAGTTGGGATATGGTATAGCAAAGATAAGTTTCACAACAACTGCAACACTCTTGGCTAAAAAGAAACCATAACAGATCGCACACAGACGTTTGTAAAACAAACAGGGTGCTAATAAGATATCATTAAAAAAAATCCATGATTATAAAGGAAAAAAACAGTGTTCAAGTGCACTATTTCCTTCCTACATAATGGTGTGACTTGGCAGATTATACAATTTGACCTATCTATGTAGGCAGAAATTAATGCCGAGCACTATTTTGTCCCTAAAATACTATAAGGAAGAATTAGTGCCTGGCTGCCTGCTGCACTATTTCGTCCCTACAATACTAAGGAAAGAATTAGTGCCTTCTACACTATTTTGTCCTACAATACTACAGGGTAGAATTAGTGCCTTAGGCAATTTTTTTTGTCACAATTAAAGTATATTATATGAGGGGCAAAATAGTGCAGCAGGCACTAATTTTTCCTAATAGTACTTTAGGGAAGAATTAGTGCTTGCTGCACTTTTTTTGTGTCTATGATAAAAAAGGTAAGAATTAGTGCCTGCTCCACTACTTAACCCCTATTTTACTTGGACGAATTAATTTGTAGAACAAAATACATGTTATTAACATAATTACACATTGGCCAAGGCCATACCTACAAAGATAAGTATTATTTGATAGAGGAAGATGTGTGTGTTTAACATAATTTTAATGGAATGATGATGCTTTTGAAATTACTGAGTTTATTTATCATTCAATTTGTGAAGAACCTAAATAACTTTGTAGTACCTCCTGTTTTTATGGTTTACATGTGTGCTACCATAATTAAGGTATCACTATCATTATAAAATAATTAATTGGTTTTAAATTTTACTTTCTGTAAATTTAAAGTCACTTCAAAATAAGTCATGCATTGTATATTATTTGTACTGAAAGAAAAGGCACTCATGTCTTGAAAGTAAGAGGTAAGAAAAGCGCTAAACAGATAATGAAATGGTGTAAAGTGACATTACTATAGTCAAAGGAAGGGATAGTTTTGTAGGCAGTATTAGAAGAAAAGGAAAATGGAGATAGAGGAAGACTTTGCTACGTGAGAATGATTCTACAACTATAGGAGATCATGATACTTTACCATCTTTATCTATTCAAGATACCGTCCTTAATAAATGCTAGGAAGAATTTGACAACTGTAGTGACAATTGCAAAGACCATAAATTGCCAGATTGTGTGAAGTGTTCATCATTGAGACATAAAAAATGTTAACAAAAGTGGCCACAGTGTAAAACCTCTCAACAATGAAGCTAATGATAGCTGCTTTGAAGGTCAGGCCACTTCAATTAAATTCCATGTTTCTGCTTTCCCGCCCGTATACTCCCACACACTAGTTTAATATTGTGCTGGTGCGGTATTTTGCGCATGCTCAGTTATTTTCGAGTACTCGTGACTGATGGTGGAATTGGTTGGCAGGTTGGTGTTAACGAATTATACAGGCTGTAAAGTGATTTATTTCTTGTGATTTGCACTTATTTTAAGGGAGCGTGAGTTAGTGTAACTATAAGTGCATGAAATTAGCTTAAAGAAAAAGGTGCACTATAAAACTATCCACGCAACATCATAGAATCGCTTCCGCCCGTCACCGTATAAAAGGAGGTGCCCTGGGCACAATATGGCGGCCACATTTGAAAATAACAAAATGGCTCCCGCACTGGCACTGTTCTTATCATGGCTAAATCACTAGCAAAATGCATTATAAAAACATTAAAATTAGTCAAGGCGAGAGAGTTAACCTACAAGCACAGGTAGAAAGCATGGCAAAAAGAGAAATGGTATAATTGACTTGAAGTAATAATTTTTTACATTATTATCAAATATTTATATTGTATATTCTGAAAATCTGTCAACAGCCTAACAAACATGATTAATAATGCTATCAGGCAGGTTATAAGTGATAGTGGCAAAGGAATAGCCCTCATTACTACATAAAAAAACAAGCCCAGGAACTGCCACCACTGGCACCAGAAAGCCTTGCCGACTACCAATTATCAGCCACCCTCATCAAGTAGAAGTGGTTACAGCAAATGACCCCCACTTGGTCCTCAATCAGATCCTAGTGCTGGTAGCAGTTGCAACATTCAACGATCCACTGAAAGTAGTAAATACAAAAATTATATTATTCTAAATGATAAAGCATATACAATAACAGAGTTGAATGGATACGGGGATGGTGAGAAGCTTCCTGTAGTTGTGTACATCTTCCCAACTGTACCAAGTAATACCAATCAAAATATGGCAGTACTGTGATGGTAATATACCAGCACAAGTATATGCTAGTACGAGCCTAAAAAATATTAATGCCAATTAATGTATGATTACATTCACATTATACTTACTTCTGTCTCTACTACATAATAAACTTGAGTTACGATTACAGGACTCAACTGAAATTCAGCACAAATCACATGACTTATACTATAATAATAATAGTAATAATATAAATAAATATAATTTTGATAATTATTATAATAAAATTATAATAATAATAATAAATAATACCTGACTGTAATTGATCACCCTTCGGTCAACCATACGACACTATCACCAACATGTGCGTCCCAATAGCCGATCCTCTATCTATGCACAAAATGGCTGCTCTTCGTGCCCCATCACCCATACCTTATTTTATATTAACACTAATTTCAAACACATTATAACTACCTGAAGTATTGAGTATAACTAGTATCATCATGTGATAGAGCCTCTACATGACCCTCTTTCCGAACTAAATCAGCAAGTAAGTGAGATAGCATTTCCAGCGCCTTCTTTTAGTGCCCTTAACTTGATCTAGCCTAACTAGAACTGGTCCTTGTCTTCTTTGAGAGTAAAATATAACTCAATTTGGTACCAAAACCCCTCTCTGCCTGCGTTTTTCCTTGAAGAAGCAACATCATTTAGAGCAGACATTTTTACATGTGAAAAAAACGGAAGCCACCATGCCCAGGGCACCACCTTTTGTACCGCACCTTCTCGTTTAAGCATTAAATATTTTGGCTAAATTCTGTGAGCTAACTTGTGAATTTTAATGAGCTTTTTTTTAAAAAATAATTATAAACAAATTGGGTTAAATTTATTGTTACGAACTTATGATTTATGACACCTTCAGGCTAGCTTACGTATTACACTAGCTCTGGAAGACAACTTTGTCAAAGGGGTGTGACTAAATTAGTACATGATAAACAATAAGCTTCAAATAAATTACACTTTGGGAGTGTGCCACCCTCCTCTGCTGTGCTGTCTTCCTTATAAGATTTTAATTTGGTTGTTTTCTAGTGTAAAGCATGTGTCAATAGGTCAAATTGCTGACATTTTTGATTAAAAGTTGACTTATATTATATAGGCGGTAGCCTATAAGTAGGATTGAGGTTGGTTTTTCAAGATGGCGGCCGTTTTCATGATTTTCAAACACTTATATCTCTTTTATTTTACGTTGTACAGCCTTATAAATGGCTTAGATGAGCTCTCCTTCACTGAGCAATTCACCTAGTACCTTTAAAGTGAACTGTAGTGTAGCAGGAGTGTTTCTGGAGAATAGGCCCAAATTCAAATTTTTTTGCAAAATTTTTCAGACTTTTTCTTTCTTTCTTTCATCTTCTTCTATCACCCATATAATCTTCTAAGTTAGAGAAGTGCTCGAGTTGGCTTTCACATCACTCTTCTGGGCTTGGGTCAAGGACCTCAAAGGTAGTTTCAGAAAGAGGCGAGGACAGAGAACAAAATGGAAGACAAAATCCAGCTGCAGTCACCACTTGGGTTTGTGGTTTGACGCCATTTTAATTTATGAGCACGTGATTATCATGAATATAATTAACCTAACCACACAATCATAACAAAGTGTAATTTTATTAATTTAAGAAAAAAGAATAGAAACAAGTAAATAAAAAACATTTAAAATGGAAAAGTAGTAGGATTG